TAAGACCGATGTCGAAGAGCGTACTGCCTATGTTTTCTTCTAGAAGTTTCATAGTTTCAGGTCTTACATTCAAGTCTTTAATCCATTTGGAGTTCTTCCAGATGAACTTTAAATTAGGCTTCTAAATTCCAATTTCATTGATATTGCACTGAATATATACTTTGAGGACTGGCATCTTAATTATTGAGTCTTCCCATCAAATATTGAAATTCTACAGGAATTTAAGTATAATTCACATTTTTCTATGGATTTAGGCATGCTTCCATTCGGATCCCAAAATACAATTGGAAGAGACACGTAATGGTTTTCTCCTTTCCCTGAGTTTTATGAAGTGGGAGACTTGATCATGAAGTCTCAAGTATATGATCATTTTATTTTTGCAATTTTCACTTCTTATGTTTACCTCTATGGTGATTCAGTTGAGAGACATTGAAGGTTTTTACACAAAGACAGTTTGGATTATATTTTGAGGTTTTCACTGCAGATACTGGACAAGTATTAGTATAAAGGTAAATAATGTGGTTAGCAGAAATGTGATGTTTAGTCACTCTTTAAGTTCATCTTATTTTTACTTAGTTGTCTTCAGTATTGAAATCTTAATATTTGAACTTTTCAGTAAGAAGCAAGATTCTAATTGCAACATATATTTGAAGGATATACAAACATGAGTGTCAGACTTACTTAATAGATAACCATCTCTTATGGGATTATCTACAAAATTTTCTTTTTGAAATTAAAAAACCTTTTCCTGGGCCAAAATCGTATTTCACATGTGGCTCTTTCCACCATAAGAATCTTTATTCTGTGTGGTCTTTTAAGTGGCTTTTTTCTGTTTTTCAGAGAAAGTTTCACTGTGCAAATTTGACTTCATGGCCTCGCTGGCTGTATTCCTTATATGATGCTGTAAGTAACTTACCTTGAACTTTTTGTTTCTACAGTAATCCACGTCATAATTAAGGGTCACTAGAGCAAAACGTAGGTTTTCATACTCAGTGGTGTTTAATTTTCAAAACTAACGCCATTTGTTATATTAAGTAGAACATGCAGGAATCAGAGACACTGCTGCGTAGGCTTTGCCTTTCATTCATAGAACTTTTAGTTTTCCCACAGTTTCTAGTGGCTTATAACTTTAGGACAAGATACTGATACATTTTAAGGTTTATTAACAATTTGAAATTTTGTTAGGTCAAGTGGTAGTTACATTTAGAAAATTAAAGAATCCTTCTATAACAATGTTTTAGTTTTTTTCCTAAACAAGGATATTATATCTCCTGATTCCTAGTGTATTAATTGATGCATCCACAAGTGTTTTTGCTCCTCAAATTTTGATACTAGGTGTCGCCACATCTTGCAGAACTCACTAAAAGACAGACTGTTGGAATAGTTCAGAGAATCTGCATTTTAGACAAAAAGACTGTTTTCAAAGCATGATTTCTATCAGTCTCTCTGCTTTGGGGCAAATTCCTTGAGTATCTATTAAATGAGGATAATGGTAACTATTGTACTTGGCACATAGTAGACATTCAACAAATACTAGTCATTTCCCGTAGTGAATCACCTTGCCCACAGATTTGGAGTCCTGGGAATACTGAACAGATAGGTTTTGAGCACTTACCAGATGCACAAGATTAAAGGACACTACAGTTCACTCTACTCTTCAGCAGCTTTTGGGCCACTACAAATACACAAGAGCCAAGAGTGTTTTTTGCTTACACTTGTGCAAAGATAGTAAGCACTTTTCTGTAGTAAATAGGAACCAAATAAGGTATGTAGATAGCAAGTGCTACTGCCATTTATAGGGGCCAGAATCCCTATGGACTGAGTCAGAAAAGGCTTCCTCGAAAGGGGGAGAAGAGAGGCCAGTGCCAAGCTGCTGAGAACAGAGCACCTGCAAGGCAGTGAGTCAGGAGCACGTGCCCCAAGATAGCCAGACTGTGGGAGAGAGGCCAGGAAAACCAACTCCATGCTGCTGGGCAAAGGAATTGGGGCTTGGATCATTTCTGCATAAGAAAACAGACATATTTAAACTAGGACTCAGATTTTACTACATAGTGATGCCTTAAATTGCTACTAATTATTCATTTTATTAAAAAGAGTTGAAAAGCTGACAGTAAATTATAAAAAGTCTGTGAACTTATGGCTACTTTTATTTTAAACATCAAGGAAACCTTAATGGATAGAATCAAGAAACAGCTACATGAATGGGATGAAAATCTAAAAGAAGATTCTCTTCCTTCAAATCCAGTAGGTATGAAAAATCAGTTTCCTTCCTGTGGACTGTGATGTCTTACTAAAAGAAATTATATGTTTTCTGTTTAATGAAACCAAAAATTTTAGTTTAACATCTTTATTAGTTATGAAAAGCATACACATTTGCTTTGAGCAGTTAAAAAAATTAGTATTTTTTAAGTTAATTGTAACAAAGTTCTTAAATTCTGTGAGCACTCCAATTTTAGGCAAGGTTTTCATAAAAAGTTCAAATTGCAATAAATGGCTCACATCCAAAACACACTTTCTGAGTGTAGACTCTCCTTTCCCTATTCTTTAAGGTGGTTTTAAGTGACCCCAGTTCCAGGACTTATTTACATATAATTTCTAAATCTGTTTATTAGGTACAGTTAGCTACTTTTCTAGTCTCGTAGCAAATAAGTGACTTCTTCTAACATGGGTTTGATTTCATGTTTAACTTGAAAGAAGGCATTTACAAAAACAAGTATGGGAAAAGAGGTTACATTTTAGAACTTCTTAAGAGTATATACTTGATATATTGCTTATAATTGTGTGAAATATGTTCTTTGAGAACCCTGTAGAGAAGGGTTTATTTCAAAGGGACATTATCTGATTTATAAGTTGTCTGATACTCATCTTGCTTCATCAGTTTAAAACTTGAAAAACCCACCATGTCTTTAAGATTTTTCTTACAGAGTAGCTGCTTGTCTTCCTATTGATGATGTATTAAGAATTCAGCTCCTTAAAATTGGTAGTGCTATCCAACGACTTCGCTGTGAACTAGACATTATGAATAAAGTGAGTAAAGTGAATATGTTTGTGATACTCATGTTTAGTCAGTCTAGAGAGCTAGGATGCACTGTTTGCTATGGGGGTCCACTCCTATAGTCATGCAATTAAAAAACTAATTGCCCATCATGGTTTACATTACAAATATTTTAAAGAAAGAAACTTGAATTGTTTTGCATTCCTCAAATATGAATGAATACCTTTAATAACTTCATTTAGACTTTGTGAACACTTGATTTCTACATGGAACATCTGTGGTTTTATATATCAGTCTTTACTTCTTTATCCTAGAAGGTCATTAATTTTATAAGGGAATGTGTCAGATCTCAGATTGTGGTGTTTTTTTTTGCTCCATCTTTAAAACTATATTTCTGAATGGTTAGAAGGAAAATATGACATTCAGAGGGATCAATACCTTAGAGAAGTTTCTTGATGAGCTATGTAATTACATAATTAAATGAATGTGAATTTTCCCCACTAATTTTCTCTTAAATTTTTTAGTGTACGTCTCTTTGCTGTAAACAATGTCAAGAAACAGAAATAACAACCAAAAATGAAATATTCAGGTGAGATCTTTATTACATTTTTAGTATACTTCTGAATACATTTTCCCAACTGCCTTAATAGAATTATAGTCAAGACTATAGTACCATTCTCTGTGTATTTCCCTCCATTAAATTAAATTACAAACATTCAGCAATTGAAATATGGGGAATTAACTCACTGTTAGGTAAGACAGTCTTCCTGATTGGGTCCTCAGAGCAACAATGGATAAGTAAGGGATTATTCAGAGGTAAGGAGGATGGTAAACTAAAACAACTGGGCAATCCTTTTTCACCCTGTCCTTGTTGAAAATCTATATATTATACAACATCTGTATGTTAGAATATCTTCTTAGTAATTCAGGACCTAACATGAATGCCTCATGCATTATATTTCAATCAAACATCAGTTTTGCCGCATAGGGCCAAGATAAAGTAGGACAGTCGTCTGAACATGTGCTGAAGCTGTGTGATATAAGTGTTCAAAAATTATGATAAATTCATCATAATTATAAATCAAGACGGTAAGGAAACTGCTGTCTGCAAAGTAATAAGCTACCCAAAATGATGAAACGGGACCTTTCCATTGCATGTCCATTCTTGGAGACTCCTTTAGAGGAAGTTGAGCTCTGTACATTTTAGAAGGTTTAAAAACCTAGTACTGTTTTCCTTTTGGTCATCATGGAAAACATTTAGAATAAAACTGGGCTGACTACCAACCTCTTGTTATTGTATTGGATTCTATTATCTAAAACTAACTAAAAAGTTAAAAACTATAGCTCTTATAACCTTATTTCTTGGTGAACTTTTTAAATATCTGTTACTTTTTTTTTTTTCATTTTGACTTACTTATCCTCTGTGCTGATTCTGTTTTAGTTTATCCTTATGTGGGCCAATGGCAGCTTATGTGAATCCTCATGGCTACGTGCATGAGACGCTTACCGTGTATAAGGCTTGCAACTTGAATCTGATAGGCCGGCCTTCTACAGTGCACAGCTGGTTTCCCGGGTAATATGATGGTGGTGGTGACGTTTGTTTGTTTTTGATTTTGCCTTAATTGGGCAGAAAAACAGAGTCCTAAGCAGAGTTGCTAGAACTATAATCAGAAATAGACAATGAAATGAATAATTCTATTTAAATACTCTTCATTTTCATGAATGGCTAGAAACAGCTATTTTTCCATAGTCTCATTGAATGTAAAGTTAGGGAGAAAGAAGATTGGCAACTGCCATTATCCTCAAATCAACTATACAGTTAGTTAATCTAAACTTTTTTCATTTCCTATCAGCTCGTTCTGAAAATTAACTGTTTTATGACCCAGTAAAACTCTATTTGAACCATATTCTGTAATATGTAAAACCAGAGAATGTTGCTCAAGCAGTGGTAAACAAGAAAGATGCAGAAACCATTGACTCCTGCTTTTCTTCTATTTTTGCTTTTTTTGCCCTTAGTCCAGTGGCCTTCACAGTATGATCCTGGGACCAGCCGCACCACCTGGGATCCTGTTCGATTCCCTCAGCCATATTATCTTCAAGAACCCTATTATTTGTCTTTTGTTCCAAATTCTGGGTCAGTGTTTTATTTTGAAAGAGGCAAGCTGAGTAAGGATTAGTGATTATACTCTATTCTGGACCTAGAACCATGTCATGTGGATTGTCCACTCTTATTTGACACCCTTCTTAAGGACTAAAACTAGAATTAATTTATTAATATAAATACTAAATGTGGGCAATACCTAGGAAAAAAGTAAGGAAAGGGTTGCAGTTACATAGTTTGGTTTATTTTTCTTAAAAACAGAAATGCCATGGCTTATATTTCTGGTGAAATTATCTGAAAAAATCATTCTTATTTTAGAAGAGTAGTTCTTAAATCTTGTATGAGGAATAGGCTTATTTTTCCCCATCACCCTTCCAATTTTAACTCACCCAAAAGTGCATATTTCTACAGGTGGTTGCTGTTTTTCTAACTTAACTTGTCTCCAATACAAAACAACAAAGGAAAAGCAGGTGTGAGTTAGAATGTGGTCTTGGCAACCAACAGTTTGTATAAAGAAATCCATATTAAGATGTTTTTCTTTTGCAGCATTGGAAAAAAAAATTTAAACATAGCTTAAGAACACAAACAAGTAACATATATATAACCTATATATAAAGACTGATGCATTACCATGATGAAATGTACAAATTAGAAAATCTTTTTTTTTTTTGGTGAGGAAGATTAGCCTTGAGCTAACATCTGTTGCCAATCCTCCTCTTTTTGCTGAGGAATATTGGCCCTCGGCTAACATCCGTGCCCATCTTCCTCTACGTGGTATGTGGGATGCCTGCCACAGCATGGCTTGATGAATGGTGCCTAAGTCCGTGCTCGGGATCTGAACCTGCAAACCCCGGGCCGCCAAAGCAGAGTGCATGAACTTAACCACTATGCCACCAGGCTGGCCCCTAGAAAATCTTTTTATGAGGTTTCATGGAACTGTACAGATCAAAGCTCAGAGTATTTATTCTTCTCAACCTTTAGAATTTGGCTCTAAGATCCATCTTCATAACAGGTTTATATGATGATAGGCTTTTGGGGTACAACAATGTGTTTCCTTAGCTAATATCTTTCCTTAATTTTGTAGGTATGCCTGGACTATTGCCCAGTGTAGGATCTGTGCAAGCCATATTGGATGGAAATTTACAGCCACCAAAAAAGACATGTCACCTCAGAAATTTTGGGGTTTGACTCGATCTGCTCTGTTGCCCACAATACCAGACACTGAAGATGAAATAAGCCCAGACAAAGTAATACTTTGCTTGTAAACAAATATGGTAAGGATAAAGTTATTTAACAAGTTGGTATTCTAAAAATCAGATCTGCTTTGGAAATTACCACTTTTGATGCATACCTAAGTAGAAAAGCAACATTACATGGAAGGTTGCAGGTTCTTAGTCAAATTGTATTTGAAGATTTAAATTAAAACATACTATTGAAGAGAATGAAAGTACTATTGAAGACAATGAAAAGATGGTTTTCAAAGACAATGGTTTTCTGGAGTATCTACTTTAGTAGCTTGGTGCCATTACTCTGTGGACTCTGATATGTCTGGGAGCATGTCATTGAGAGGACTAGAAGACACCTCTGAAAGGGATGAGATTGTTTCCTGCACAAAACATATTTGAAATTCCTGTAATGTGAGGTTAATTATAATGATATGATCCCAAAACACAGAACAGCATGTTTGTATCAGCGCTCCAAATGGCTGACGTTCCAAAAGCCAGGGTGCCATGCACAAGTAGATGTTCCTTTTTGAAAGAGGCAAGGCAGTGTATATTAAGGGCTTTGTTCCTTTAGAGCTTCTCTGAGATATTGTGCTTTGTAAATTTTGAAAATACTAAAGAGGTAAAATATGCAGTTTGAGCCCCAAAATAAAGTTTTCATTTCTTTACGTGTTCGTTAGTGAAAAACAGTATTTTGTGTATTTGTTCAGTGTTTGTTTGAAGTATAACCCTGGTTATTCTGTTCCAAGGTTTAATTTGTATCTAAACTACTATGGAGCAGAGATGCTATTTTTTAGGCTGTTTCATTAAATGTAAATTGAAGAAAATCTGTAAGTAAACTTTAAATAATGTAAAATATCTACTCATAAGTAGATAATTTAGGTGTAAGAAGTAATTTTTAAGATAAAGTTCTAGATAGACTCATTTGCCACTACCTCTTTGCTTATACATTCAAGGGTTTATCCGATCCTTTCACATTTGCGTAATTAACTTTGGTTTTGATATTCTTTCACTGCTTTGGGAAAAGTTCGACTAATCAGATAAAATGTATGAGGCCAAAAACAGACTGTTAAATTTCTTATGTTTTAATTTATCAGTATTTTGTCTTTTACCAAACATGCAATGGTTTTGATTGCCTAGACTGAAAACATTAATATCGTATTACATATTTATGTAAAGAGAGTAAATGAAAAGCAACCCAAGAATGCTGTCAGTTCTTTAGCACGTGCCCCTGCCTCATTCAACATGCCCAAGATTGTAACTTTTTTTCGAAGCTTTACTTCATTACTACTACTAATAACCTTGGGTTTATATGACTTTACTAGTTGTTCATCAGTCTTACACTGAACTAAAACTTACTCTAAATGGATTCCAGGGAGTTCTTTGCAGCAGCACACCACACCTCTTTACATTGAAATCCAAACCAGTTGGCGTGAGGGAACATTGCTTTTACATTTGCCCCCTGAAGGGTGTAATCTTAGAATGTTCTATATTGTTTACTGACACTTGCAAATAAAATTTTCTGATACGTAAAAACATGCATATAATACTATTTTCAAGTGTTTTATACATGACAAAACCAGACCTCTGAAGTAGCTAAATCAACATCCCTCCTATATAGAATAGTAGGAATTCTCTGATGTTAGGTCCAAACATCTATTTTAGTAGTACTTAAATATTTCAATGTCTTATTTTATAGTACGTTTAATTACTGACCTGTGCGCAGTTGTCTCTGAGGCCCCCTTTCTTGCACCACAGCCCCTGTTACACTGAGTGTCTGTCACACTTCCTCTTAGCTGGGCTTTAAGAGAAATATGCTTTTCAAAAATGTTTTATCAAGGTCCAAAATTGCTATTTGCCCATAGAGTACAAAGATGCTATGACTGGCTACACAGAAAGGAAAATCAATTGTAAAATGTCAGAATATAGCAACTGAAATAATACTTTGTGCTATACACCCATTTACCCACTGAAAGCATTTAAGGCTCAAATCTTTAAAAAGCAAATGTATAGGCCTGTTCATGGAAATTTTAATGTAGGTCATATCCTTTTAATTAATGAAAGAAATTAACATTTACTTTAAAGGGACAGGAGTACTGTCCCTCTGTATATATGCTACGTGATATATACCATCAGATACCACATAAATACAGTTACCTTCCAATTCCAAAGGAAATGTTTATTAAAATAACAGGCTCAAGAGTGACCCTCAAGTTAATCTTTCCCAGGCTTAGCATGCCTAGTTAAGGAAATCATGAGAGAGGAGAGTGTCAGCTACATACTGAAATATAGCTTGCCTAGAAGTCTTGCATGTATGAATGGCAGCCACGTAGGACACATCCAGTCTTCACATTTTATATAGGGTATTTTATGCAAATTTGTCAACTATTTTCTTTTCAAACACAAGTTTATTCTGGAATTCAGATAAGAAATGATACTTATCATAGACAATTACTGTATAAAATAGCCCAGTTATTTCAATTGCCAACACTAAGAAACATTTTTTCTTCAAGACAGTTACCACTTTTTAAGATCAATCTTAGTACTGTCCCGTACAAAAAAAAAACACCTTTTTTTTAAAGAAGCCTAGACAGATTAAGATGGATAGATAGGAGAGGCCGAATATACTTTTCTCAGTAGGAACGATTCCAAAAGAATTATAAGGTTCAGTGATATAAGTCAGATTAAGAGGAGGTAGACATCAGTTTAGTGCCTGAAATATAATTATATTTCACAAAATAAGATCTTTATTCTTCTGCAGATGTCCTCTAAGCTGGCTTTTATTCAGCTGTATATTCAAGTCTCTTAAATCTCACTAAGGGGGAGGAAGAAAAATAACTAGTCTTACCAAAAATTTCTGCTTTTTAGTAGCCAGCTCTCATCAACTTTAGGTCTTCTTTATATAACTTAGAAGTTCATCTTTTTCCATCTGGTAACCACTTTTTTTCCATTGTTCTCGCAACTGCTGCAATAGAGCCCCAATTTCTTTTCCTGAAGAAATGCCCACTTTTCTGATGTCATGGCCACTTACAGGAAATGGAGGAATGGACCACTGCTGCATTTCCTTTAGAAGACCGTGTTCTCCTTGGTACTTCAGTAGTTCACATACACGAGTAGTTGCATCAGGTTCCCTAGACTAAGTGCCAAAATCAAACATTTAGTTCCATCACACAGATTTAATGATCTTATCCTAAAATTTAAAATAAATGCTTGATGTGAAATTTTTCATTTAAAATAAATGAAATCCACAGAATACATTGTGGGTCTTAGTATTAATAAATTAGTTCTACAGTTAGTGACAATGATTTATATTCTGACCAAGCCTTGTATATACTTACATCTATAATGAAGTCTTGATAGGGTTTCAGTGGTTCTGAACTATCTGTTGCTTTAATTAAATCTTTCCTGTTTTTAACTAGAAATAAACCAAGGTTTTTCTCTTCTTTTGAAATCTTCAACCTCAAATCCAATTTTGTGACATCATCCTGTACTTTGAATAATGAGGCCAAGAGAGTCATTGGCTTTGGTGAAAAACCTTCAACATTTTTACTGACTTTGTCAAATTCTTCGAAACTTGCATTAGCAGGTAAGCCTGTAGGGACAAAAGCATTTTTCACCCATTTTTACAGTGGATAAATTTAATAAAAAACACTCAAATCCTAAACCAGCCATTGTTTCAGTATACAGAAATGCCCTGTCACTAGGACTCATTATTAGTCCAATCTGATGCTTCATCTTACAGGTAAACTACTGATACACTCTTGCTATCCTCTCTCATATCATTCTCAAACCAAGGGAAGTCCTAAAATGCTCGTTTCCAGGTCTAGAGGCAGCAGTGGTGATGGTGGTGTCATAGTCACAAGGGATACTTATTCCAATTACAAATTCTTGACTTTACACTGACATTCTATCATAGAATGTCTACCCCCTCTTCAATAATTTTGTCTTTATCTGAAATATACCCAAGTTTCGTGAAGTGTGATAAATGATACAATCCCACTGTTCTTTCTGAATATTAATTACATTTATTGAATAATTTCTATGTATAAGTCACTCTTCTGAGTGCTTTACATGTATTAACTCATTGAATCTCTCAGCCCTTCCATTAGATAGATGCTATTATTTTCATACCTGTTTTTCAGATTCAGAAACTAACACTTAAGGCACTAACCCAAGTCACAAAGCTGGTAAGGAGCAAAGCCTCATTCAAACCCAGGTCTGTCTGACTCCAGAGGCCACTTTATATCACTGTAGTAGGTTGTCTTTGAGCTGTTCCCTACCCGTGACAAAACCGTCCTACCCCTGACCTCCAAGTTGATCGTATTTTAAAATATTCCATTTTTCCTTTTAGAATTCTTCAACTAAATTTCAAACATTTTTTCCTTATGAAATTTTAAACCAGATGTGTTTCATTGCCAAAAATGCAAACATTTTATAACTTGCTCTCACCTATGTAAGGAGCCACATCAAGATCATAGATGAGGTGAATCAAATGATTTACATGGTTACCAACAAGAATTTTTTTCAATTCTACCCAAATCCTTTCTCCTGATATTGCAGCCAAGCCTTTTGCGTTTTCTGCAATTGCTTCCAAAGTCTCAGGATCGTGGTCACCAAGTTTGCCTACAATTCTCCCATAAAACCTACGAAACAAAATTCTTGGAGTGTATTACCTCTGTGTTGGCATATCACCAGAAAAATCCATTTTTCATTTTATTGGTACTATCCCACACATCTATTTAATGAGAAACAATATAGAATTAGGTCTAGGGGGAACTTAGAAATCATCTGGTCAATTCTCCACCTTCTCTTTTTTCCCAGATGAGAAAACCTGAGATCCTATAAAATATAAGTAACTTTCTCAAAGTTAGCCAGAACTAGAACCCCCCCCCCCACTTTCACTTCCAAATTGCTGACTGAGACACTTGGAGTGTCCATTAAATGCAGTTCCTGAATTGGTACTTATAGCAGATGAATAAAACAGAGAATTCTTGTAAAGGCACCAAAATAAGACTGGAATGCCATCATGGAACAGTCTTAATCCCTCACTGCTTACCTGTGTCTGTACACATCAATACTTTTAATGAAGAGTTTTAAATATGACAAATCTAGTTGCAGATGCTGAAGCATGTTTCATGGAATCTCAGAATTGGAAGCCTTAAAGTACACCCGTTCTACCACTCATACCTTTAAAATTCAGTTCATTAGTGATCTACATTAAATGACTAATTATGGCTAAGTCTCAGTCTATGTTCTGTTATTTGTAAAGAAAGACTGCAAATACTCAAGTTTAAAGGAATAGGATTTATTGACAAAATACGTAGGCTCTATATTGTAGAATATTCTGAGAGTGATCCCAACCAGCAAAAAATTAGTATAACTAGACATATAAACTAACCAGTTAGACTAGTTTTTAAAAAGGTTAGAGTTCAGAGTTTAAAAATCATTGCTGAGGGTCAGCTTCATTGCACAGGGGTTAGGTTCGTGCACTTCGCTTTGGTGGCCTGTGTTTGTGGGTTTGGATTCCAGGCGCTGACCTACACTTGTCAGCCATGCTGTGGTGGCAACCCACATACAAAATAGAGGAGGATTGGCACAGATGTTAGCTCAGGGCTAATCTTCCTCAAGCCAAAAAAAAAAAGAGAAAGATTGGCAGCAGATGTTAGCTCAGGATGTTAGCTCAGGGCAAGTCTTCCTCAGCAAAAAAAAAAAAAAAAAAAAAAAATCATTGCTACCCACAAAACCATCCAAATGCATTTCATACTTAACAGGTTCATCTAAGAGATTTCCCATGACCACCTGAGACTGTAAGCGATATGAAGGCAAACTTTCATTCATTACTCTGTGTTCATAGCACCTAGCACAGGGGTTGACCTACGGTAAGCATGCAACTATCTGTGTAATGAATGATCAGTGCAGGAAATATTCAGTCAAAAAGAAAAATGGACATTTAAAAATATGATTTAAAGCTGAATTATATAGAAGATCATCACAGAATAGAGTAAATATGTGTATGTTTTGGGAATGAAAATATGAACTAATTAATATCTCACTCAGAAGTTAATAGTCTGCTAAGTCTCTACTGGGGGGGACAGACATTTGGGATGTCACCATTTTGTACACTGACCTGCTGTGTGTTTCACATGACCAGAATTGTGCTCTAGTAATAATATTAAAAACTATATCATTAAATTTTTAAGAATTCTTACCTGAAATATCTTAAAATTCGAAGATAATCTTCTTGTATCCTCTGTTTAGCATGTCCAACAAATCTAACTTTCTTATTTTGTAAATCTTCATAACCATTAAAGTAGTCAAATAAAGTACCATCAAAACCTATTCATTAGAAAACGGGGGAAAAAAATCACTATTAGCAAATAAGAATTGGAAAACAGTGTGACACACACACACACACACACACACACACACACACTGTAATGTTATTCAGCCATAGAAAAGAATGAAATCTTGCCATTTGCAACAACACAGATGGACCTTCAAGGCATTATGCTAAGTGAAATAAGTCAGACACAGAAATATACCATATGATCTCATTTATATGTGGAATCTAAAAAAGAAAACCAAGCTCATAGATACAGAGAATAGACTGATGGTTGCTGGAGGCAGGGGATGGGGGTGGGCCAAATAGGTGAAGGGAATCAAAATGTACAAACTTCCAGTTATAAAATAAGTCATGGGGATGTAATGTACAGCACGGTGACTATAGCTAATAATACTGTATTGTATATGTGAAAGTTGCTAAGAGAGTAGATCTTAAAAGTTCTCATCACAAGGGAAAAAAAAATTCTGTAACTATGTATGGTGACAGATGTTAACTAGATTTATTGTGGTGGTCATTTAGCAATATATGCAAATACTGAATCATTAGTTGTACACCTGAAACTAATATAATGTATTTCAATTATACCTCAATAAAAAAATTTAAAAAAGAATCCAACTGGGAAAAAAAAGAATTGGAAAACACAAGAAAATCAACTAAAAACTATCACAAACAGTAATAATTAAGCAAAGTGAAGAGTTACAAAGTTAAAATACAGACATGAATAGTATTCATCTGTATCCACTATTGAATGGAAGATATAATGGAACAAAAGGCTGCATTTACAACAGCAACTAAAAAGATAATACACTCAAGAATAAACTAAATAAGAAATATGCCATTTGGGTGGAGGAAGACACCAAACAAGCTGATTTTCAAGTTAATATGGGAAAATAAGAATAGCCAAAATACTCTGGAAAAAATAATTAAAATAATAAATAAGAAACAACAGGAAAAAAATTTATAATCCTAGAATGGGGAAGACCTTTCAAAATATAATTACCAAGAAAATAAAACACAAACACACACAACACCAGAGCCTTCAAAGAAATTATTAATCAATTCAGCTACACAAAAAATCAAATATGCCTGCATGGTAAAAAACTACCACAATGCAAAGCGTAAAATCAGTGACGTACTGAGAAAAATGTATGTAAGTCAGTATCATAGAGACAAATGGCTAATTTCCATAATATACAAAAAGCTCTTATAAATGAAAAGACCACATAAATAGAAAAACTAACTAAAAATATATACAGGAAATATAAGAAATCTCTTTAAAAAATGAAGATTTTCAACCTTAGTCATAAAAAACGCAAGTTTATATCAGCATTTTTTCAGATTTCTATCAGATTGGCAAAGATCCAAGTTTGATTACTGCCAGCAAGGGTCTGGTGAATTACATCAGGAGACTTCATCATGCAGCCTTTTAAATTTTGTGAATTTTGAACCATGTGAACCTAATATCCATTCAAAAAAATTTCCACATTACATTCTCTCAGATGTTGAATGAAAAGAATAAAATTGACAAAACGATATAAGGCACATAAAACCTCAAGTACTACTAGAGTAACCAATTCATCCCATTTATCCCAGGATTTTCCTGGTTTTAAAATTAAAAATCGCTCATGTCCCAGAAAATAGATCATTATCGGGGAAACTGAAACAGATGGCCACCCTAGGGACAAAGAAGGAAAAAGAGAAACACCGAGAGCAAAGACAGGCACCATTCAACCATCCAAGTGCGAAGTTCAGTGATCCTAAGAGACATTTCACCTTGTGGCACCACAGAAAGGAGGCACTGCCACTACTTATGAAAAATAACCACCTGTCAAGTTAGTTCTGTTTGAACTTGAATGCTCTTTGATTATCCCAAATGCAACAATACTGGTAAGCTCAGGCTTAACACTTCCCAAGCTGTTTTGGTTTATATGGGATTTTGATATGTACCGCAAATTTAAAAGGCTCCAGATCCAAAGAGAAATAACAGAAAATGAAAAGAAAAAAATAGGTAAGTAAACAGATAAAAATATGATTACAAAGTAGCAAATAAATGTGGTATATCTGTCCCTTAATGCTATTTCTCTTAATGAAGAGACTCAGCTCTCCCTGGTGAGCGTCTGGAAATACTAAGGTCTTTTTCAGTAAAGGAAAGATCAAAATTTGGAGGAAAAAAACATAGGCTATGATAAGAGCAAAAACTAGTCATGATTCATCTAATAAGGCTTGAAAAAAGCCTGGACAGAAAAATGGGCTAAAAGTAAGGATTAGTGAGTGTCATATTGGTGTGTACTTTGTTTTGCTCTGAATATCATTCTTTTAAAATATGGTGAGTGAAAATAAGAAATAAAGTTGAGTTGCTGAGAATAATGTAGTGGTTAAGAACGTGACCTCTGGAGCCAGGCTGCTTAAGTTGGAATCCTAAGTCTGCAGTTTACCAGCCAGCAGTATCTGCTTCACAGGGTGGTTAGGAAGATTCAGTTTATGTGACGTGCTTACAACAGCGCCTGGCACATTGTAAGGATTCAGCAAATGTTAGAAAACAGTAGTACCAATAAGAATAGCTTTTATTTTTATAAAATAGTATCTTGAAAAAGAATATTTAGTTTCTCTCTTCAGTTAAGTTTGCTTACGAGAAGCCAGTTACAAGATTTTATACACTGCACTACCTGGAGCAGCAGTTTACCCTGAGTAAGAATGACGTAAGATGAAATAAACACCTGGAGTTTGACCACACAATGGAGAGAAAACATGCCACCAACTGGGCTCCCTCATAAATCACCTAGACTTTGGAAACAGGCTCAAATCACGGCTATCTGTGACTTGAGCTAAATTACTTAACATCTCTGAATCTGTTTCTTCATCTGTCACATGGGTTTAATACCCACTTTATGAAGTTCTTCTGAGAGTTAAATGAGATAAAGTATATCAAGTGACCAGTGATGCGTCTAGAACCTAGTAGGCACTCTAGAAATACTGTCATTAATGTAATTAGCAGCGATCCCACCTTGGCCTACAACCCCCTTCTGCATCCCATGAAGGAAATCCTGTTACTTCATCCTTTCACTATTACTGTTGCCGCAAACTAGGTTATGAATAGTGGACGCTTCATCTCTCTCTTGTGTAATCCAAAGTCTTAAACATAAAGGGCTTGTCTAAAATTTAAAGTACAAAAAAACAATGCTTCGATTATGTACCAAAACACTAACCTAATTCACATCGACTCCAATTATGATTCTTACTGCTTTCATCAACAAAAAAGTTACACTGAGATGACAAATAGGTTTCCTCTTACATGTCAATTCTGCCTGACTATAGATGATTCCTAAAATGCAATGCAATGAAAGAATTTCAGGTTGTATCTAGGCTCAGCAAAAGAAAAGGTGCTGACGTCATTCACCAATGTGTGCCATGGGCACCAGAAGAGAGGAAAGGGCGGGACATGCATGCACGAAAGATAGTGCAGAGGACAAAGAGGGACACAGAGGGTGCATCTATGTGTGCATTTTTCTTACCTGAAATGTTAACATTTTTAGATGCAGTCAGTAAGTTAACATTGATTGAATGTGTACATGTGCCAGGAACTGTTCTAAAGATTTACAACTGTTAACTCCTTTAATTCTCATAACAACTCTACAAAGGAAGCTAATGACATCCTCATTTTACAGCTAGTGAGTCATGGCATCAGAATTTGAACCCAGGGATTTTGGCTCCAGAGTCATCTTTTAACCAATATGCTACACTGTCTCTTAGAAGAAACTAATGCAATCTCTCAAGCTGAAGAACATTTCCAGAATGCAGGTTTCACTTTAAAGCATTCAAATAGATTGAATTAAAATACTATTTTATCTCCATATATTACCTAAAAACATAGAATTTATAGTGAGATCTCTGCGTTCAGCATCTTTCTGCCAGTCAGTTGTGAATTCTACCTCAGCATGTCTTCCATCAGTGACAACATCAATCCGTAGCGTAGTAATTTCAAAATTTTCTTCATGAAGCTGTAATTGAATATGTTTTTTAAAAATTAGTTTTTAGTATCACTGGATGGATTGTAAAAAAATACATGGGTACTGACAGGTATATCTTCTTTCTTTTTAAAGTCAACTAGTACACATATACCTTGAAACAGAAAGACACCCACAATATTCAAAGATAGATCTAAAGAATATTTTTAAAAAATAAAATAATAAAACCATCCTAATTAAAAAAGATGAGTCTGACATACAAAAATGGCAACTCTGACAAGAGATATGGCACAAGGGAGGAGCCCTTAAAACAGCATACAGTCATGTGTCGCTGAACAGGGACACGTTCTGAGAAACGTGTTATTAGGCGATTTCATCATTGTGCGAACATCATAGAGTGTACTAAACAAACCTAGATGGTATAGCCTCCTACACACCTAGGATATACGGTACTAATCTCTTGGGACCACGGTTGTATATTCGGTTCATCATTGCCTGAAACGTCGTTATGCGGCACGTGACTGTATTCTGGTTCTTCGATTTCAGATCAGGCTTTTCTTTGAAAAATTTTTGAATAGCTTCAGTTTGCAAAGAGCTGAATACCAATTTATAGATTACATATCATTGAGCAAAGGACTGATAAAGAAATACAAAGAGTTAACACATGCTGCAACTCCTTTATTAGTAATCATCAATGAAGTTAAAGTGTTACATATATCTTGGGAAGAGAGATTACCTCCAGCTGGGAAAAGTTGAGTAGCTTCATGATGGAGTGACACATGAGCTGAGCCTTGAAAAGTAAGTAGGATTTGTACATGCAGATGTGGGAAGAACATTTCAAATGAAGAGAAAAGGTGACTAAAGGCACAGTGGAGAGAAATAGGAAGTATACCTGACACAGAACACATTAGCATTTAGGGGTAGACAGCAAAGGGTTTTACACGCCAAACAGAAGTCTGGAATCTCTTCATTAGGAACTGAAAGCCACTAATGATCACCAGAAGTCTGTTCTAGAATTCCTCTCAATCTCATATATATTCTTCTCTGGAAACAAGCTAGTTCTCTCTATAGAATTCTAGAACTCAGGCACTGAAGCACAAGTATCTCTGAAGGCAAAGGGTAAGCAAAGGGTTTGAAATAGGAAGACTGTTGAAACATCATCACAAGAAACATCATAAAAATTATAAGAAATATCATAAAAATTATAAGAAACAGCCTAAGAATCATCATAACACAAACAATTAGACTGCCCTTACCCAGGCAGACCCCCAGAGACTAACTCACTAGAAAGACCTGAAAATAGTCAGAACTTGGAGCACCAGACAGATGATCATGGGAATGAAGCACAATGAAAACAAGATTAAGTGAAAAAATCAACATGACCGCCAACCCTTTCCCCATTTGGTTTCCAAAAGGCTAATAAGTAGGCTTTTATTCTAACCTGGGTAACACTGGAGGATTCCTCTGATTTCTCCTAATGAAAAGTCCTACTGATATTGACATTGGTGCTCCCACAACTAACTGGCTGACCCTTCCCATGCAAAACTATAATAAAGCTCTCAAGTCATTGTGCTAACACTAGAAGATCACCCATAATATAGAGAGAGAGCCAAAGAATACCCACATTTAAAGAAAGCCAACCAGCAAAAAAGAAAAAGCTCAGAGGAAATAAAGCCATTGTCAAAATAAGTATAATTGGTAACATAAGGCGGGATATTGTGATTTATAATAAGAAATATATACATTTGGTCTTCATACCTGTTTCTGGAAGAGCTCCCAAAACCCCTGGAATTTCCTGTGATGAGAGCATCTAAAAACAGGGGCTGGTTGCCAGTGGAGCCAACATGTGACTAGAGGGTTGGAACTTTCAGTCCCACCCCGCCCCCCGCCCCCGACTTCTGGGGAGGGGAGAGAGGCTAGGGGCTGAAGATTGAGCTCAATCACCAACGGCCAATAATTTAATCAATCATTCCTATGTAATGAAGCCTCCATAAAAATCCAAAAGGCTTGGAGAACTTCTGAGTTCGTGAACACGTGGAGATTTTGGGAGAGAGGCGCACTCAGAGAGGGCAAGGACGCTCTGCACCCTTTCCCTATACTTTGCCCCATACATCTCTTCTATCTAGCTGTTCCTGAGTTATATCCTTTTATAATAAACGTGATCTAGTAAGTAAAATTTTTCTGAGTTCTGTGAGCTGCTCTAGCAAATTAATCAAACCCAAGGGGAAGTCATGGGAACCTCTGATTTATAGCCAGTTGATCAGAAGTACCGGTAACAACCTTGACTTGCAACTGGCGACTGAAGTCCAAGGAGGTGGTTGCTGGAACCTCCAATCTGTAGTCACTAGGTCAGAAGCACAGGTAACAACCCGGGCTTGTGCTTGGCATCTGAAATTGTGGGGAGGAGGGGTGTAGTCTTGTAGGACTGAGCCCTTAACCTATGGGATCTGATGCTATCTCCAGGTAGACAGAGTCAGAATTGAGTTGAATTGTAGGACACCCAGCTGGTGTCGGGAGCATTGCTCATTGGTGTGGGGAAACCGCCCCACCTCACGTTGGAATTAGTACCCCAACCCCTTTGTAAGGAAAATGAGAGAAGATGTTACCTCTGAAACAATAACAAGAAGCTTTCAAAAGAAATATTCTAAGAAAGACCTCTTGAAAATTCAAAATAGCAAAAGTTGCAAATATAATAGAAAGATTGGAAGATTAAGTTAAGGCAATCTCATGGAAAGTAAAATAAAAGACACGAGAATATAAAACATGAGACAAAAGATAAAACTAGAAGATCAGTCCCTGGGGTCTGACATGCAATAGGAGTTTCCAAAGGAGAAGACATTTAACAAAGGGGATGAAATTATGAGCAAAATACAAGAGAGCCCACTAAGTGCCCTATATAATGAATGAAAAAATAAATCCAAACCAAGGCACCTCATCTTGAAATTAAAAACACCAGAGATAAAAAAGATCAGAAAAGCTTCCAAAAGGAAAAAAAAATCAGGTTTCAAACAAAAGAGAAATCTGAATGAGCTCTGACTTCTCAGCGGCAGCGCCGGAGGGTAGAAAATAAAGCCTTTACGTTTCTGTGCGTAAATGATTCCCAGCCTCGAATTCCACAGCCAACAAACTATCAGACCACTGTGAAGGCAAAATAAAAATATTTTCAGGCACGTAAGCCTTTCTCAGGTTTCAGACTATTAAAATGAGGGCATAAACCAAGCACGAAGACCACATGGGATCCAGGAACCAGGAGGTCTAATAAGGAAGAGGCCAAAGAAATTCCCAGGATGTGGTGCAGGAAAATCCCAGGATGAGAGTGGGGAGCCCACCTAGAATGTCCAGATGGGAGCAGAAGACAGACTGCACCAGGTGAGATGGCTCAAAAAAAAAAAAAGGAACTGAAACTTGATGTGTTTAAGTCTACTGAGAGGAACTTTATAGTTCTGACACAGAGTACAGGAATGAATTAGTGGCACATGGAAAGCTATGTAAAAGAAAAATGCTATTAACTGCAGGGAAAACCAACCATGCAACACAAGAAATGTAGTCATAATATACTACACGATCCAGCTGTAAACAATACACTTATAAATGTAAACCCAGAATATTGATTTAACCAAAAATTATGGTATAAATATACTGAGAAGATGAGGGAAGGAGAATTACATGAGCTTGCTGTTGAGGAGGGGTGAAGTAAGAACACTAAATCATCTTCCCTCGTACGAAGTCAATAGATAGCATCTTAAAACTGGGAAATTAAAAAGAAAAACAAAACACTGCAGCATAGAAAGGTCTTTTTTAGAAATGTGGAGGTCAGGTGAGTACCATAAAAATTAGTTGAAAGTGGCTGCAACAAAGGAGGATGCAGGGTTTTGGAGGTGGGGTAGAGGACACCGATATTTTTTTATTAGGCTTTTTGCTGTTTTCTTTTTTTAAACCAGAAAAAAACATATAGAAATTTTAAAAATTAGAAAAAAGGCAATGCAATTACTGTCACACTTTTCACTCACCCTGGCAGTAATTGTTCCATGCTTTTCTCCTTTGTTGTTTATCATACGAATTCCAGCAGACTGAAACATCTCCTTCATTTGAGTTGGGGTAGCAGTGGTAGCAAAATCCACGTCTTGAGGCTTTACTCCATTTAATAAATCCCTCACTGCTCCTCCTGCTATTCTTAATTCATGATTTTCTTTGACAAATAATTCTGAGATGACAAAGAATATTTTTTATTTCAATGTGTTTCTTAAGAAGCACAGAAGTACAAAGTTTTTCAATCTATTAGGGACAGCTGAGATTATTTAACTGAGCCTTTTCATATGAAAAGTAGGAGAACACGGCCCATAGAAATGAAGTGACTTGCCTACATTAGAATGCCCGCAACAACTGTGAGAAGCAGGGAACTTGCAGAATTTTTCTTTGCTGCTTTGGAAGATAATTCAGAATTCCACAATGCACCAAGGTCATTATTATAAATCTGAATTATTACCAAAGAGTAAAGTGAACAATTCTGCTTTCTTTCTCCAGGTTTATGTGCATACTTTAAAAATGTGAAGTGTTCTTGTATGTATTTCTCTTTGTGTATTGATGTTGAAGCAATATGTTCATGCATGAAACTATCAAACATTAGCCTATCACACCAAGTATGATAAATGTTATAGCTAAGAATCCTTCAAGAAATAATCTGCATATGATGTTTAAAACCAACTCATATCTCTGCTCTGGAAAAGCCATATGAACACTGAAACTACTGTGAGGGCCTCAGTCCAGGAGCCAGAGCTGATGCCTCTATAGGTATAGGACAAGACAAAGTCCATTATAACTACCCATATGACCAAAGGACACCATATGGAACCTAGTGAGAATGACATCCAGGAACTGGCCTGCTATGACCAGCTAAGCCTTGGTGTTGTTACGAGCTGGGCTGGCACTCACAACTAGGCCCTGCTGTTCTCCTGTTGAACGTAGTGTCAGAGAACATCCACATCAGACAGGGCCACCCTGTGACTATGATGGATCAAGATAAGACAACTCATAATCATGTCCGAACACAGACAAGACATGAACACTAAGACACCACCCTATAGCAGTTAATATGTGTGATTGCTCCTCATTTACCAATCAGTTTTAATCTTGCACTGTATTCTCACCTTCTAGGTAAGAATTATTATAAATCACAGATTTATCCCTGCTTCCTGACACCACCTAATCCACAGCAAAGCCCCACTGCTTAAACCCGCCCCCAAACCATGTAATATAGCCCAAATCCTACAAGAAGTCCTTTCTAAAACCCTTGCACTGAGATGTCCCAAGGTTCTCCATGGTCAATGTTCTCCCTCACTGCAAGAAGTAACAGCTCAACTTGGTGTGTTCCTAGTGGTCTTTGGCTGGAGGGCACTGACCTGCGATTTCAGCTAAATGCATCTAAGTTCTAGCATCCCTAATCACAACTCAAAATGTCATCCTCCATCCCTACTCTAACTTCTTTTCTTTGTCATCTCCTCCTTTACCTATTCTTCCCAAACCTTCCAACCCCATTCTCTGTAGACTCCCTAAATGATCTGCTAAAAAATAACAAATGCTCCCTCCCTCTACCTTCTTGCCTTAACCAACAGCTCTCCCAGAAGGATACCACTTCCATGAGCCCTCTCCAAGAGGAAGTGTTCATGTTCCTTTAACTCCACATTTCCAATCAAGTCCCACTGACTACATTTCCCTATTAAGGGTTCCTTAACATGGGGTCCATGGTCCTTCAAAATAAAATATAAAAATCATGTATGTTAGTCCACAGTTTTCATGAGATTTATAGAGGTCCATGATCCAAAAGGTTAACGACTGCCAAAATATATCTGGACTCTACCTTCATTTCTCCCTAGTCCAGAGCCTCTTAATCTCCTTCCTGTACTGGTATAACAGTCTCACAAGAGTGCCCTCATGTATCTCCCTGCCTCCAGTGCTGCACCACTCCCCTTACATCCAGCCTCCATGGTCTAGATGTAGGGATCTAAATCACCAGCTTCATTACACTATGCCACTGCTCCTCTAACTAGTCACATCACAATATCCAAATTTCTTTAGCACAATATCCAAGAGCCTCTGTGACCTATTTCTGTCTCATGTCTCACTAATCTTCATATCACACCTTACAAGCACCGAACTCTCCCTGTAGTTTCCCTCTGTAACTTTGCTCATGTGAATCACTTCATCTAAACACCTTCCCAACTTATTCATCTAGTTGAGTGGCTGGCTATCAAACGTCTTGGAGCACAACCCACACTAAGAAAGACATTTCTCATAGCAGTCACTCATACTTGTGTGTGTGGAAGTGGGGTTAAATAAAAATTCATGAAATAATACTTACCCTTACTACATACCATGCAATTTAAGCTATTCTATTTTATCCTCTTTTCCTCTCCCTTTGCAATACTGGTCATGACCACCAAATTGACTTCTGGCTACTAATGGGTCTCCACCCACAGTGGGTAAAACACTCACCCTTACTCATCTTTTGTGATTCAGTTTAGGAAGCCTCTCCTGATGATGGAGTTAAGTGAATTTCTTCTAAGCTACCAGAGAGGCCTATCTTTACTAATTATATTAAAATTACCTGTTTATGTCTTTGTCTCCCCACCTCTCAGGGTAGAAAATCTATCTTACTCATCTTTATACCAACTTGGCTCACAATGGAAGTGAGTGTGATCCTAGCTTAAAAAAAAGTGGCTTCACTGGAAAGTATTTTTTTTTAAGGTTTTCTTCCTTCAAATTAAAACAGTATCTAAGAAAATGTTTTTGAATGCAAAAGATGGGCAAGTTTTACTTTCATTTGAATCTACTTTAACAGCCTGAAGAAGACCAAGGCTGAATACATAGATAACCACTGTTTTAAGATACTGGTGCCACTAAAATAAAATTGTAAGTTGAAAGTCACCCAATACATCAACTGTACTACAGAAAAAGAGATCCAGAACTCAATCTATTCATCATTTTGATTAGCCCTATGAAAATGGATAACTAATTCCAAAAACCTCACACTTCTAACATTTTACTACAATTGAGAAAGGCATATAAAGGCATATGTATGGGCCTGTATGGAATAGTAGTCATAAAAACTATAAGAAACGGGGGGCCAGCCCCATGGCCAAGTGGTTCAAGTTCCGCGCACTCCGCTTCAGCAGCCCAGAGCACAGTGGGTTCAGATCCCAGGCACAGACCTATTCCACTCATTGGCCATGCTGTGGAGGCATCCCACATACAAAATAGAGGAAGACTGGCAATGGATGTTAGCTCAGGGCCAATCTTCCTCACCAAAAAAAAAAAAAAAAAACTATAAGAAAGTCATGATTTTTTTATTGACCTAAAACAGTAGGGATTATAAAGCTTAAAGACTCCTTTTTTCCTCAATTACTGACATCTTTAGTCTTATAGAAACAGGGATGCATTCCACTTCCAACAAATTTTGTAAACTACATACAAACTCAGTGAAAGTAACACCTAATGCAACTAAATTGTAAATTTAAGCCTAAGACTCAAGTAATGCAGAATCTCATCATTCCAAAACTGCATTAATTTGCTTCATCTGCCACATCTCATAGTAAGCTATGGTTAATTATTCTCATTAGCAATCCAAAAGCCCATGACATTAATGTGTCAGAAAACTTTTATAATTGTCTCCTATCTTTTTAGTTTTATTTTAATTTCCAGTCAAATTTTCATTCACTTCTTCCCTTTACAATTTTGAATTTTGAGTGTTGGAGGTTGGAGGGATGGACAGTGAGTGGGAATATAAGCAGGAAGACTACTACATAGCATGACGATCACTCCCAGAATACAAACGACCTGTTCTCCAGCACTTGCTGGAACTCCCAAACTTCAAGAGTGATCAGCTGTTCCTATCATCCCAAATGTTAATATGATGACTTTCTGATATCACATACCTTAGCAGCTGATAGCTAACCACTGAGCCCCATCACCCAGCAGTGAGTATGGACCACAGCCAAGTGGCTGAAGAAGCCCTGGCTCATCCACTGTGTAACTGAGGCAGAAATCACGACGTTTGGAACTTCAGTCTCAGGCATAGAATGGGGAAATAATCTTATATGCCACTAGCATTATACAGTTGTCCTCAAGCAAAAGGAAAATAAATTACATGAAATAAACTGACAAATTATAAAACCCCGTATGAGCATAGTAACTATCCTAACCTCCCAAATTCTTGCACACTGGAAACTAATTTTACATGTGGCAAAGCAGCTATTAAGATTTGAGAACTGGTAGAATATTAAACCACACAGTATCACCATACAACAGCCATCATTGTTTTCCTTTTTGTGTTTTTGTGCATATTTTCATACAGAACATTGTATTTTACCAGAACCCCCAAGTCTTTAGAAAAGAGACGCAAAGGCCACATAAAAGCAATTACTTGATTTTCTAACTCTTGAGCACTGCACTAAGATTCCATTCTTGCCACTTCCCCTACAGCCTAGAAAAAGTCAACTTCAGAATACGTCCATGCTCCCGTTTGCCAGTCTTTCAAGGACAAGACCCTGGGGGCAAATACTACTTCCATCTTACCATACTATTTAGTTTCTCACTTCCTTAGGACTTCACCTCTCAAAGTGGAGAAAATTCAGCTCTTGAAATCAGACTTAGTAAGCCAAATGCAACTGTTAAAATAAAAGATGTTCAAGAACCTATAGTAATCAATATCCAGAGCCTTGTTTCCAAAAGAAAAATGCAGAAGGATCTGAGATAGGCTGCCAAGAGTTAATTACCTACATCCAATTATTTGGCACCTTTCTTCCAAGAGGCCTCTTGCAATGGAACTGGGAAAGGCATATAAAGAAAGAACAAGCTTGAATTCAAGCCAGAGTTGGAGCGTCTAGACCTGTGCTGTTCAAACAGTGGTCAAATGTGGATATTGAGCACTTGAAATGGGCAAGTCTGAATTAAGATGGTCTGTACCCGCTGAACACCAGATTTTGAAGACTTACAAGGAAGGATGTGAAATATCTCATTAATAATTTGCATACAAATTTGATATTAAAATGATGGTATCTTAGATATGAGATTAAATGAGACAATATACTAAAAATAATTATTAAAATTAATTTCACCTTTTTTTTTTTTCCCCGTGAGAAAGATCAGCCCTGAGCTAACATCTGTTGCCACTCCTCGTTTCGCTGAGGAAGATTGGCCCTGGGCTAACATCCGTGCCCATCTTCCTCTACTTTATATGGGACACCACCATAGCATGGCTTGACAAGCAGTGCGTCAGTCCACGCCTGAGACCCAAACCTGCGAACCCCAGGCTGCTGAAGTGGAGCCCGCGAACTTGACTGCTCAACCAGCAGGCCAGCCCCTCTTTTTACTTTTTTAATGTCGTTACTAGAAAAGTTGACATTACATATGTGACTCATATTATATTTCTACCGGACAGTGAGTTTCTAGCTTTTTTTTTTTTTTTTGTGAGGAAGATTAGCCCTGAGCTAAAATCCGATGCCAGTCCTCCTCTTTTTGCAGAGGGAGATTGGCCCTGGGCTAACATCTGTGCCCATCTTCTTCTACTTTATATGGGACGCCACCACAGCATGGCTTCACAAGAGGTGCATCGGTGTGCGCTGGGGATCCGAACCTGCGAAACCTCTGGCCGCTGCAGCATAGTGCGCGCACTTAACCACTACGCCACTGGGCCGGCCCCAGTTGCTAGCATTTTTCACTTTAATTAAAAACCACAGTGAAGCATCAGCTTTAGGCCCTCTACTTCAAGACCACGTGAAGAACCTATAAGAATCAAGTTCTGGACCATTTACCTCTGACATGTACCTAAAAAATCATCTAATTTCAAGAATAGGAAAATAGCTTTGGGAATAAGCTAAGACCAGCAAACTCATTTTAAAACAATGGTTCCTTCACTTTCGGTGCATCAAAATTATTAGAGTTTTATAAAAATTTATAGATGCCCATCCTCCCCAGAGATTCCAGTTCAGTAGATCAGGGGTGGGACTCCAGCATCTCTACGTTTTAAAAGCTCGCCAGGTGAATCTAATGGACAGCCAGGGTTGCAAACCTTGGCTGCAAACCAAAAAGTCTGTTTAGGTCATGTGTCTACATACATACACCTTAATATAGTTCTGAAGCACCACTAAAATAACACAGGCTTTGAAACGCAGCTGTGTGGCTGCTTCAGCAACAGCAGTAACTGATATTGAGGACCAATATAAGGAATGATAAAACTGTAGCAAGCAATATGGAGCTCCTGCCAGCAGGCACTTAGCTAAAGCCACTGCCTGTGTTCCTTCCAGATAAGCTTTGTACGTGCACAAGTGGAGGTGACTCCTCTTTCCTTCTGCCTTCAGTTCTCTCAGAAAGCACTTATACCTAGGGAGGAAAGACAGCTTAGCGGTTACAAGCTGGGTTCTGAAATCAGACTGCACAAGTTCAAAACCCAGCTCTCCAGTTATTAGTTATAAAAACTTTGGCAAAGCATTTTGCATTCCTAAGTCTCTGTTGCCTCATCCATAAAACAAGAGAAAACGTACATACTAAGTTAGTAGGCCCAATGCTGGAATGTAAAGTACTTGGGATAGCAAACAAAAAAGCCATGCTTTTTATTGCAGCCATTTCTAGCCTCTTCTCGTGATTTAGTGGCTATAGTTTTGGATTACCCATAGGAAACCTTTCTCTCATTAGCTCAACAAGAACAAAAAACAGATAAAAAATGTTAACCCTCTGCTCCTCCGTTGACACAGGCTTTCAAAGCAAGAAAAGGCATCCTAATCTCTCACCTGTCAGACTCTTCAATCCTTCTGTGAAAAGTGACTGGAATTCTGGAGACTGCAACTTCATTGTAAATAGATATTGCTTCAGAAGGCACAGTCTACGCCAACTACAGCTCAGTAAGGGCCTGCGCCAGGGATACAGGCACCTCAGCATCTGGGGGAAAGTCGCCAAACACACACCTACAAGACAAACATGCATGCACAACAATGACATTTGTAAGTGAAGGAAAACAAAGGGATACAGTGAAATTTTATTTACCAATTGAAAGACATTCATCTCCTGTTCAGATGAAAAACTGAAATAAGTGGCAATCTGAGGGGCAGTTAGGCTTGCAGCTGTCCAGTTTCGTACTCCTGAAACACTACCGTACTTGCATATCGCATTTTACTGTTACCAAACTCGCCTGAGAGGCGGGTTTCAGTTAAAGCGTGAAGGGGTACAGGGCTGCCAAGAAGAGTGGTTCCAGAAAATGTAACTCAGAGACTCGCAGGAACACTCGGTCTCCTCCGGAACACGTCACAGTCACATGTGTGTATCACCGTACTTTCCCACACACACCTGAAATGTATGACCCAGGCATATTTCCTAAGCACTATAAAATGGACATCTTCCCATGACTCGTCTTTGCTGCCACTCACCATTTCCCGCCACCATACCGTGTCCGGACTCCCACCCACACTCTGCCTCCCGTTCTCCATCATCACACCCTGTTTTCCACATAAGGTGGGCCTCCAGGTGACTCCAACAGAAACCACTAGAGAAGAACCATGCCTTCCCTTGGAAAGCGGCTTTCAAAGAGCGGCCGTTCCCCCCAGAGGGCGAGTTCCTCTTACCGAGACCACATGGGGAAGAAAAACACTCCCGTTTTCTTCCACATCCGCCTCAATTCAGAAAAACCCACTGGGGACCCTGGCCCTGAAACGGCGAGTCCCGCCCCCCACACCAGGTGCTGGCCCGAAAAGAATCAGTGAGACCCTCGGGGGCCCGGCCGCGAGGAAGGGAAAGTGCCAGGGGAAGCCCGATGAATCAGCCCGCGGCCAGGCGAGACGTGGCAGGGACGCGGCCCCTCCACGTTGGGCTCTGTTCCCCACAGCTGAGGAGGCCTCTCGCCGCCCCCGGCTCCCGCCTTCCCCTAGTCGCGGCCCCGCGCAGGCTACACCGCCCCTCCCTGCCCCTTCCTGCGGCGCGCGCCCGTTCACCTACCCCGCCGTCGCCGCCGCACGCACGTCCGGACGGCGGGCGACATGACGTCACAGGCGCGCGTCGGTCGGCGGCAAATGGGAAGTCGCAGCAGGGTGTGGGCGGGGCCCGGGAGGCTTCTCCCCGCCTACAGTGCGGCCTCTTGCTGAGTGCGGCTTCCCGGGTGCCCTGAGGCCCGATGGGGCCAGGGGTGCTCCTGCTGGGACTTGAGGGATCAGGGTCTGTTTATTTCTTTTAATTACATCTTACTGTACCTCTCTCTTGCCCTGAGGTGGTGAGACGCACATCAGCATTGCATTCCTGTGTGACCTTGGACAAGTGACACTGTCTTCCCTTGGAAAATGAGACTATCAATAAAACCTATCTCAGGGTGTTGCCAGTCTTAAATTGTTACTCCCTAGCAAAGAGAAAGTGCTTAGTAAATGTTAACTTGTTATTCCTGCCTGCTCCCCAATTCGCACTTGACTCGTTTTTTTGTCATTGGAAATTTTTTATTATTTTATTGAGATCATATGGGCTTATAACATTGTGTAAATTTCAGGTGTTCATTTCTGTGTAGACTGCATCGTCTTCACCAATAGTCTAGTTTTTATTTGGCATCATACGTATGTGCCCCTTTACCCTTTTGCCCTCTCCCCACCCCCTTCTCCTCTAGTACCACGTTACTTTATTATACCCTAATCTCTGCACAGGAATAAGAACACAATTTTAAAAATACTCAGAGACACATCGTCAAGACCTAGGCAGAGCGTTCAGCGCATACTCATTCTATTATTAAGCCCTCCGGTCTGTTGACATTACTGGGCCTATTTTATTTTCCTGCTTGGGTTTTGTAAACATTGGCTTCGGTGGTCTGGAGGCTTTTGGAGCTGTAAAGTGAAGAACTTGAATTTGATTCCGTTTTTCCGTTTTCCCCAGGGCAGAGAAGAGTGAAGAAAGTGGATAAGAGTGGGAGTACAGCCCTAAATCCTTAAAATGGGAAACTTTCAAAAAATTTCCCATTATCTTAAAAATGAATAAAATCTGCATTGTAGGGCTAATGTATGTGTTTTATTTAAAGTGTAGGCTTTTCAATATAACTTCACTTAATTTCCCTAAAGTTTTCCTAGAAAAATTCGTGTGCCATGATATTTCTGTAGCTTCCAATGATTAGACCTCTTATCTTCAGGTGTGTTAAATAGCCTATTTTGAGAAGCACAGGACTAGCTTTCCAAGCTGCCATTCAGAGACAGAGCATTGATTCAATCCAACTTCTTAACATGGTAATGAATATATATATCCTAACTAGACTGACCAAGGAGAAAATACAGAGAATTCAATGTAAAAGAGCATATCACTACAGACATGTAGACATTAACAGGATAATAGGAGCTATTATGGACAATTTTACTCCCACCAGTTTGACATTGTAGATGAAATGAACAAATTCTTTGAAAAATACAACTTATCAGAACTGAAACAAGATGAAATTTTAGAATCTGAATAGCCCTTTACTATTAAAGAAATTGAATTTTGTTCAACAAACCTCCCACAAGGATAATTCCAGGCCCAGATGGTTTCCCACTTAAGAAAGAAATTACAGCAATCTTGCACAATTTTTGTTCAGAAAATAGAAGAGGGAACACTTTTCCTCTCATTTGAGGCTAGCATAACACTGATAACAAACCTGAAATAGATATTAACAAAAAAAGAATTTACAGATCAATATCCACATGAACATAGAAACAAATATCTTTAATAAAATATTAGCAAATTGAATTGAGCAAGTTCAGTTGATCAAGTTGAGTTTATCCCAGGAATGCAAGGTGGATTTAACATTTGAAAACCAATCAATGATATTCACTGTACTAGCAGACTAAAAAAGAAAAACTATATGATCATCTCAATACATGTAGAAAAAGCACTTATTCAACACTCATTCATGATAAAAACACTCAGAAAATTAAGATTAGAAGATTTCCTCAATCTAGTAAAGGACATCTATGAAAAATGTATAGCTAAAATACTTAATGGTAAAATATTGACCACTTTTCTCCTAATATCAGCAACAAGGCAAGGATGCGCAGTCTCACTACTTCTTTTCAACATTTTAGCATAGTTCATAACCATTAACATAAGGCAAGAAAAAGAAATAAAAGACATAACAATTGAGAAGAAAGCCAAACTGTCTGTTTTCATATGACATGGTGGTTTACATAAAAATCGTGAGAACTGACAAAACAGCTATTAGAACTAATAAGTGAATTTAGCAAGGTCTTAGGATTCAAGGTTAATATATAAAAATCAATTGTATTTTCCTATAGTAGCAGCAAATAGTTATCAATAAATTCTAATTTTAATAGTAGCTAAAATTATGTACAGATATATATAGATACAGATTATAATGTAGGAATAAATTTAACAAAAGAAGCTATATGGTTGGTAACCACGCATATATAAAGATACTGAACATCATCAGTCATTAAGGAAATGAAAATTAAAACCGCAATGAGATATCATCACACAACTGTTAAAATGTTTTAATCAAAAAATCCAGCAATATCAAGTGCTGGTGACAATGCAGATCAACCAGAACTTTCATACATTGTTGGTGAGAATACAAACTGTTGCAGCCACTTTGGAAAACAGTTTGGTAATTTCTGATAAAGTTAAATATACATGCACCATATGACCCGGCAGTCCAACTCCTAGATATTTACCTGAGAGAAATGAAAACTTATGTTCACACTAAAAAATGTGTGTGAATAGTCATAGTAACTTTACTGATAATCATCCAAATCTGGAAATAAGCCAAATTTCCTCTAACAGATGAATGGATAAGTGAACTGTTGTACATCCATACAATGGAATACTACTCAGCAATACAAAGGAATGAACTATCGGTACACACAACAACATATCTAAATCTCAAGTCAAGAAAGCCAGACTCAAGAGGCTACATACAGAATGATTCTATTTATATGACATCCTGGAAAAGGCAATACTATAGAGACAGAAAATAGATCAGTTGTTGCCAGGGGCTGGAGATGGAGGGAGGGGTTTACTACAAAGAGGCATGAGAGAATCTGGGTAGACTAAAAAGAGTCTAGAACAGTACACTAAAAAGGGTGAACTTTCCTGTATGTAAATTATACCTCAATAAACCTGACCAAAATATTGTCTTTCTCTATATTAGCCAAAAACTAGAATATGACATTTAAAAAAAATATTTAAAAAGGCTCTCAAAGAATGCTTGTTCAAATGAATTCAGTTGTTAAAGCATTTACATATGAAGGTAGAATGAAGGACTTGGAGGTCATTAAACTAACTGCGAAAAGAACTATAGGTAGAATGCCCCTCAGCCCCTCTACAAAGTATATTGGTGAGGAAAGAGGGGCTCAAGATGTTTCCTATTATTTCTTACTATAGACCCATCCTAAGGGAAATAAAACTTTACCTGCAACGGAACTGACATTTACTACACAGAATTCCTACAGAAAGTATTCTCTTTGCATAGTACATACCCAAAAGTAAATATCATGAACAGAGGGTACTGCTAGGGTCAGGCAGGTTGCTATCATACCATGGAAACACTACAGCCATGAGTATTACTCTGCAGTTAGAAGGCAACATATTATTAAAAAGGAAATTCAAGAACATGAGATAAAAACAGTGTAGAAATATATATCAATATTTATTGTATGTACCAACTTTAGGTCTTAACAGTTATCAATGTTGGTTTGAAAACCCGTTAATGCTGGTTGGAATGTATATCAGTGCTGGTTCAAGATTCCCTCATGAGTGGACAGCTTCTGTCTTTCTTCACAGTAAATCAGATCTTTGATTCCAGTTGATACATCTAGTGGCCAAAATGTGGCTTGTAAATGTTTAGTTGTCTCTTCATTCATCAAAGTTTTGGTTGTGTTTCTTTGAAATTGATTCATTTCTGGAAACCAGAGAGAGAAATAATAGTGTGTGCGTACCAGTTGTCAATGTAACATTGTTTTCCTTCATTCATTCGTACATCCATCAAATGTTTTAGTGTCTACTATGTGCCAATGGCATGTGTGAATATGACAATAATAAAACTACCTAACAATTTATGTTGTGCTTAGAACGGTGCCAGGCATTATATTAACTC